GCGTTGTCATGATTGTTCCTAGGACATCCATCGATATCACAGACATGTTTCTCCTTTAGATGACCCGTGCAATTTGGCCAATATACGAACGCATCCATAACTAGACATACAGCAGTTTTAACATCTCCGTAAAATCATCGGCAATTGCAAACCACTTTTTCCAAGGATTTGAATCTTACCTATTAAAAGTGAGAAAAATAATACTTTCAAGAAAAGATTGAACATACAAATTTATAACAAGCAGAACTTACATTTTGTGTTTTCACAAGAAGGGAGATTGTGTTCATGTTCAGCTTCCCACTAATTGCTCTTATAAAGACCATGAGAACATATTCATTGTTGTCAGATGATAGAAAAATAATAGCAGATGATACCAAAAAAATGAAAACTCTATTAAATGAAATTATTTCAATGAAAAGAAAAGCGAACAATTCAAAACAAACCTTAAGAAAGACATATAGTAAGACAACAGCTCATCATTCCGGAAATCAAATGCATATGTTATTAGCTTGTTAATATGTTCAGTACTGAATAGGTAATCTGAAACAGACGCAAAATAGTCAATTCTATATACAGCAGTAGCAAGATTGAATTCATTTATGTAGTTATATTCAGGAAATTACATATAGCATGTTCACTTTTAAGATTCTGAATTATAATGCTCATTGTCTGCAACAACTGAAGTGAAACAGTAGCAGTCCTACTAATTTGCAAAATACGTACAAATTCTCCCATGATTTGCTTCTCCATGAAAAACCTGAAACAGCCAGAAGTACATAAAAGTTCTGGAACATTAGAAATTTACCAAGAAACAATAGGCATTAAAAAAAATCCTCACTCGAAGAAGGAAGCATCATGCTGGTCACCGTAAGTTATCAACTCTGATAGTGATCGCAGCGCCTCAATAACAAAATCCTTCATCCAAGTTTACAATTAAATAGTGCTATTACATATCCATGAAAATAGTAATTTAACACACTACCACTGGAAGGAAAAAATCGAAAAGCATCTTTTACCTCGTTAATCTCATCGACTATTTCAATGTTTAACAGCTGATCAGTTAAATACCTGTGTCCCAGTAAATTTAACAAAATTTTGAAACAGAATCGAGAAATAAGGTAGGCAAGTCTATCATGTCCTCAATAAGAAATGTTTAATTTGATCAATGAAACAATTGTTTTCTATTAAAATAAAATAAAATAAAAGTGAATTACCAACCTGAAAAAGTGGTTTTAACCTCACCTCTCTTCTACCCTTTTCTATTCTTTCATATTTCTTTAAAAAAAACTTGGTTTTCATTCACACTAACTAAATAAACTTAAATAAATTAAATTAAATCAAGGTTACAAATGTTTATCTTCTGATGGCCGAATGTTTATATCTAGGAATGTGTTGTTTGATAAATGTTCTTTTCCCTACGCTCTTGTCACTAAACAGCCAACAAGGTCAATTACTTCTTTCTCTCTTATTCCTTCCCTTTCTTCCGTCTTATCTTATGATTCTTCTACTACAAGTTCCTAAGCTAATAATTCCTTGAAATCTAATGGTGTTTCCCAGATCTCTGTTCCAGTTCCTATTAACCGCGATCACCCTGTGCCTACTAATGTCTATCCTCTAGGAACAGGTTCTGTTACTTCTTCAGAAAATGTGGTGTTTGATTCGGTTGGGCCAAGTTCTGACACCCTGGTCCTTTCAGCTGGTCGATAAGGTTGTACCTATTAATTCTCATCCTATGGTGACTCTTGGTAAGGATGGTATTTTTAACCCAAATGCTTTTCTAACTATCTAATGTCAAACTGAGCCACCTGATAGAACCATGATCAATGGAAACAAGCTGTGAAAGAAGAATATGATGTTTTAATTAAGAACAATACATGGGTATTAGTCCCTAGCACCACCGATAAAAGGATTGTAGGTTGCAAATGGGTTTTTAAGATTAAGAGAAACTCTAATGATACTATTTCTCGATATATGGCTCGTTTGGTTGCAAAAGGTTTCCATCAAACTTTTGATCTTGATTACTGTAAAACCTTTAGTTTTGTTGTTGAACCTATTACATTGACTGACTCTTACATATGTCTAAATTTTTAGGAAATTGATGTTAATAATGCCTTCTTATATGATGCTCACATTGAATTTGTGTTTATCCAGCACGTTTTCATGTTTCAGGTGCTACTCCTCTTGTGGGTAACTTGCACAAACCTCTTTGTGGTTTGAAACAGGCACCAGGGGTGTGGCATGATCGTTTGAGCACCTTTCACCACTCGTTGGGATTTCAAACATCAAAGCCCGATGAAGCTAAGTCCATTGCCCCACCAATGATTAGGTGGCCCTTTAATCTCAGCTAGACAAGGGAAATCTTTTTCTGATCCTTAACTACATAGAAGTGTTGTTGGAGCTCTTCAATATGTTGCTCCAACTCATCCTTTGATATCTTATATAGTGTCAATAAAGCCTGTCAATTTATGCATACTTTGTCTGTTATTCGTTGGTAGTTGATTAGATGCATATTGAGGTACTTGAAGGCGGCCATTAGTCATGGTTTACTTCTTCAATGTCCTCGAGAACTCAGCCTTTGTGGCTTTGCTGATATCAATTGGGTATCTGTTGTTGGATTCAATAGATTAAAATTCAAGCCTAATATTTGTGCTTCCACGGCCATTGGATTTGGGAGTGTTAAGACCAAACCCATTTATTTCCTTGATCATTTTGTTTTCTTTTGTAAGGGTTTTCTTCTAGAATGACTCATTCTGTTATGGTGTATTATTTAGTATGGATGAGTATCTTTGCGAGAGATTTATTCCCAGGCCTCTACATATAGCTCGTGATTTCTCTTATCAGTCATATATGGAAGCCAAGGGTTTTCTTGCATTTTCCCTCATCTTCCTCTCTGCTATACTATTGTTAGTTTGAAACCTTCTAAGCACCACCACCATCAATTGCTTCGAAGATGTTATGAATTGATGCATCCATGACTTAGACCATGCATCTTCTAACCTTTGGTCAAATATCTCACAAATAAGAGGAGTGAGAATCCGATACTCTCTCTCTAACCAGCCAATGTTATTTGGGAGTTCAAAGTTTACAAGAAGATTAAGATGATTGTGAGATCCCACATCGGCTGGAAAGGAGAACGAAACATTTTTTATAAAGATGTGAAAATCTCTCCCTAGCAGACGCATTTTAAAAACCTTGAGGGGAAGCCCAAAAGGGAAAACCTAAAGAAGACAACATCTACTAGCAGTGAGTTTGCTGGTACATTAGAGACATAATACTGCTGACACTATTCAAAGAAGATATCCCCCACAACTGCCCTCTTCTAATTGGTGTACCCTTTTTACAAAAGTAAAAAAAGTATAACACTAGATGTGGTCCGAAGAATACACCAAGAAAGGTTGAAGAAAAGGCTGATTCCTTTTCCGTATTCAATCCATATGGTCGGCATTGCAGTCTTACAGTAAAACAACAGCTCTAAGCAGCTGCAAAGTCCAAGCCATACCTTTTGCAGCTAAATTTGTTCCATGAATAAAACATAATAACAATTTAGAACATAGAACCAAAATATAATCAAGCTCCATTGGTTCAATTTGACTGCACAAAGACATCATAAGAGACAAAGAAATGATTGAAATTATATAACATGGAGACCATTGTTGCAATGTTCAACGGTCATACTGATGGTGCCCCAGTGTAACATAAAAAGTAACAACCAAAAAAGTAATCTGAAATTCAGTTCCGAACCTGAGCTCTTCCAACGAGAATGGATCCCTGGATCTCCAGAAGGAAAACCACATGGCTGAACAATCAGAGCCCCGAATTCAGATACCCAGTAATCATTCTGCACCCTAAACACAATCCATCCCAGAATTGAAGGTTTCATCAAAATGATTTCAGCGATGCTCTTCTTTACCACAGTGACTGCCTGACCTCGACAGAGAACAATCGAAGAACAACTTTCAATCTGATCGAGAGTTCTCTCGATAGAGCAAGAACAACGGAGATCTTGATCAGGAAATTTTTGGGTTCTTTGTTCCGCAGATACTGAAAAGAAAACTGAAAATGCAAGTGTTGTGAAGAAGAAGAGAGCCGATAATTATTGTAATCCCAAAAGCAAAACTCCGGTTGAGTTGGTATTTCTTTTCAATTATTTAAAAAATTATATTTATCTAAAATATACCTTACATTAATTAAAATTTTACAATGCAAATATCAAACATTCACGCACCCAAACTAACAAATTAACCGCTCGGATAATGTTTAAATATCAAACATTTACATACACAAGTCACAATTTATCATTATCATTGGTTAGTCAAATGTCAAATCTTTTTATTCTGAATAATAATAAAAAAAAAATGGATTGTATCCCTATTTATGGCGGGTCTAATTGATCCGACCAAAAAATGTCAACCTACAAACCTCACAAATGTTCTTATTCTTAGTAATAATCAAAAGTTGGATTGTAACCCGTTGGTCAAGGTACTCCGACCAAAAAATGTCAACCCACCCCTTCAAATTTTTGAATTACTTAAATAAAAAATAATTTAATAGTCAGTAGATTGGGCCTCAGATAGATCTAATTGGGCCAACCGTTACTTTAATGGACCAACCGCATGGCCCGTTTGCAATGTGATGAAGTCCATATACAGTGCGATGAAACTAGCTAAGTATAAAGAAACTTGTGGAATAAAAAATCTATTTTTAAAAATTTACTAAAAGATCAAATGAATTTTTAAAAAAGAAAAAAAAAGTATATTATAACTTATGAGTATGAAACTATATTTCTTAAAAATAAAAAATCTAAAAAGAAATTGTTATAGGCAATTTGAAATTAAGAGAAGAAACAAAAAAGCCAATATCTTAGTGCACTAAGAGAAAACCCAAAAAAAGACTAACATTTAAGGGTGGAGAAGAAGAGCAACCAATTCCTATTTATTATTTTAGTAATAAAATAACTATTACCAAATGAGTTCTTAATTTCTCATTTTCTCAATGGAGAGAGGTCAAAAAAAAACCCAAAAAAAGACAACATCATTATCGGGGGAGAAAGAAGAGCTCACATATTCCCACTTATTATTCTAGTCATAAAATAACTATTACCAAATAAGCTCCTAATTTATTTGTTTCAGTTTTAGACAAGAGAAAATCAAAAAGAACACAACATCTATTATCGGGGGAGAAGGAAGAGTCCACAAATTCTCACTTATTATAATTCCTTCATAAAATAACCATTACCAAATAAGCTCTTAATTCCTCATTTTCAATTTTCAATATTTGCAAGTTGTTAGACAAGAAAAAGTCAAAAAAGAAAATATCTACTAGTGCAGTTTACAATAGAAAACCAAAAAAGACAACATGCATAGAGAAGTAAGAATCCTATCTATAAGAGTCCTATTTATTATTCTGGTCATCCTTACCCAATAAACTCTTAATTTCTTATTTTTTCAGTTTTCAATATCTTCTAGTTATTGACAATAAAAAGCCAAAAAAGACAATATATACCGTTAGTGGATAAGAGAAGGAAGAGCCCACATATTTCACTTATTATTCCAGTCACAAAATAACCATTACCAAATAAGTTCTTCATTTCTCATTTTCAATTTTCAATATTTGTTGGCTATTGTAAAAAACAAAAAAAAAAAAAAAAGACATCTACTATCATAGAGAGGTAAGAGTCCTACTTATTATTCGAGTCAAATAAGCTCTTGATTTCTCATGTTGTCAATATCTCCTAGTTGTTGAAAAAAAAAATATATCTATTAGTTGAAAAGAAGAAATAAAAAAAAAAAAAAAAAAAAAAAAAAAAAAAAAAAAANACTTTACTAGAGAAAACTAAAAAAAAAACATCTACAGTACGAAGAAGGAAGAGCCCACATATTCCCACTTATTATTCCGGTCATAAAATAGCCAAACTTTTAATTTCTCATTTTCAATATCTCATTTGATAGTGAAAAACTAAAAAAGACAATATCTTTGATACTGAAAAATCCAAAAAGACAGCATCCATGACGGGTGGAGAAGGTAGAGCCACAAATTCTCACTTATTATTGTGATCATAAAATTTTTAGTTTTCAATATCTCCTCGGTATAGACAAGAGAAAATTAAAAGACAACATCTACTATAGGTGCAGAATGAGAGACCACATATTCTCACTTATTATTCCTGACATAAGATAACCATTACCAAATAATCTCTCAATTTCTCATTTCCAGTATTCAATATTTGCTAGTTGTTACATAAAAAAAACCCCAAAAGACAATATCTACGAGCACAGTTGACCAGAGAAAAAAAAACATTATCTACTCTCAATGGAGAAGGAGAAGGAGAAGGAAGAACCCACATATTTCACCTATCATTTCAGTCATAAAATAACCATTAGAAAATAAGGTCTTAATTTCTCATTTTCGATTTTCAATATTTGCTAGCCGTTTGACAAAAAAAACAAAAAAAATAAAAAAAGACAATATCTATTTGTTCAGTTGACAAAAGAAAACAAAAAAACAATATCTACTATCATGATGAGAAGAAGTCATAAAATAGTCATTAACAAATAAGCTTTTAAGCTTTTAATTTCTGATGTTGTCAATATCTACGGATGGTTGAAAAGAAGAAATAAAAAATAAATAAAATAAAAAATATCTACCATCTGACAAGAGAAAACTCAAAATAACATCTAGATGAGAAGGAAGAGCCCACATATTCTCACTCATTATTCCGTCATAAAATAAGTAAGCTCTTAATTTCTCATTTTCAATATCTCATAGTTGTTGGCAAAGAAAAACAAAAAATACAATATCTTTGATACCGAAAAAACCAATAACTCACTACTGGAGGAGGAAGAACCACACATTCCCATTTATTATTCTGATCAGAAAATAACCATTACGAAATAAACTTTTAATTTCTCATTTTCAGTTTTCAATATCTCCTCGCTACTGACAAGAGAAAACCAAAAGACAACATGTACTAGGTGCAGAAGGAGAGACCACATATTCCGGACATAAAATAACCATTACCAAATAATTTCTCATTTTCAGTATTCAATATTTGCTAGTTGTTGACTAGAAAAACTCAAAAAAGACAATATCTACTAATGCAGTTGACAAGAGAAATAAAAAAAAAAAGATAACATCGGTGGAGAAGAAGGAGTCATACTAATTATTATTCCAGTCATAAAATAACCATCTTAATTCCTCATTATCATTTTCATTATCTCGTACCGGTTGAGAGTAAAAAGTCAAAAAAGACAATATTTACTCGTGGTGCAGTTGATAAGAGAAAACCCAAAAAAGACAACATCTACTATTGTGAACAAAAAGAGCCACAAATTCTCACCTATTATTCCTGTCATAACGTCATAAAATAATCATTACTAAATAAGCTATTAATTTCTCATTTTTCAGTTTTCATTATCTCCTAGTGGTTGACAAAAGGAAAAAAAAAAAAAAAGACAACATCTACCATCAGTGGGGAGGAAGAGCTCACAGATTCCCACTTATTATTTCTGTCATAAAATTAACCATTACTAAATAAGCTCTCATTATCCAATAATCTCTTAATTTCTCATTGTTAGTATTCAATATTTGCTAGCGGTTGAAGATATATATGCATATATATTGACAAGAGAACCCAAAAAAGACAACATTTACCATCGGTAGAGAAGAAAGAGTCTTACAAATTATTCTCGTCATAAAATAACCATTACTAAATAAATCATCAATTTCTCATTTTTCAGTTCTGAATATCTCAATTGACAAGAAAAAACCAAAAAAGACATTATCTACTCGGAGTTGACAACATAAAACCCAAAAAAGATAACATCTACCATTGGGGGAGAGAGAAGAACTCACATATGAGACTTATGATTCTCGTCATAAAATTAACCATTACCAAATAAGCTCTTAATTTTTCATTTTCAGTTTTCAATAGTGGTTGAAGAATATATATATATACTATCGGTGGAAGAAGAAAGAGTTCTACTTATTATTCTGGTCATAAAATGAACATTACCAAATAAACTCTCCATCTCTTTTTTTTAGTTTTGAATAACTCCATTGACACGAAAAAGCCAAAAAAAAAAAAAAAAACACCATCTACTAGTTGAGTTGACAACACAAAACCCAAAAAAGATAATCTGCTATGGGTGGAGAAGGAATAAGTCTTGAAATTAACCATTAGGAAATAAACTCTCTTTACCAAATAAGCTATTAATTTCTAATTTTAAGTTTTCAATATTTGCCAAAAACCCAAAAAAAACAACATTGAGAAGAAAGACTCCTACTTATTAATTGTTCATAAAATAGCCATTATCAAATAAATTATAAATTTCTCAATTTCTCATTTTCAGTTTTGAATATCTCTAATGACAAGGAAAACCCAAAAAAGATAATATCTAGTACTGGTGGAGAAGGAAGAACCCACACATTCCCATTTATTATTTCGGTCATAAAATTAACCATAACCAAACAAGCTCTCGTTACCAAATAAGCTTTTAATTTTTTATTTTCAGTTTTCAATATTTGCAAGCGATTGAAGAATATATATATATATAGACAAGAAAAACTCAAAAAAGACAATATTTACTCTAGTGGAGAAGAAAGAGTCCTACTTATTATTCTGGTCATAAAATAACCCTTACCAAATAAACTCTCAATTTCTCATTTTCAGTTTTGAATACCTCGATTGACAAGAAAAAGCCAAAAAAGACACTATCTACTAGTGCAGTTGACAACATAAAACTCACAAAAGATAACATCTATTGGTGGAGAAGAAAAAACCCACAGATTCCCACTTATTATTGGTGGAGAAGGAAGAACCCACAGATTCCCACTTATTATTCCGGTCATAAAATAATCATTACCGGATTAATTTTTCATTTTCAGTTTTAAATATTTTCTAGTGGAAAAAGTCAAAAAAGACAATATCTACTAGTGTAGTTACAAAATAAAACTAAAAAAAAAACATATACTATAACGAGGATGAGTAAGCATATTTAGTACTAAATTATAGTTTACCATATATATCATATTTCATATTTTATTGTAAGGCAAATATATATATATATATGTATTCTTACTATAGCTATCTTTCTATTTATGGTTATTTTCCATTTATTACTATTTCCATATCATTATAATTTATTTGATTTTAAGTCGAGAACTTTCCCAAATCATTTGGGTGTGGTGGATTATGTAAACAATTTTCATGATATGAGATCCCTTTCAGCAACCTCAATCCTTTCTTTTCAATGACTTTTGCATCTTCTATTGTTCTTCCCACCACGGCTGGCTTTGAAGCCGTAGGTAGGGACAGTCTCCATGGCTGCCACATTGGGAGCCGATTGATTACTCTTCGGCTCCACCCTTTTGACCTCCAAATCACCCTTCACCATACTCTGTACATACAACCTCATCTTCTCCAACATAATCAGTTTCCCCTTAGTCAACATAGCCTCTCTCATTTTCTTCCTTCATCTTTCACATACCCCAATCTCAGGATCCTCATCATAGATCTCCTCGAAAATATACGGAATCTCAATAATCCCATCAATCTTCTGCAGAGATTTACCCTTGGAATTTGGGTGCCACACTAGCCTCTTCGCCAACCAAGTAGCCGCCACCCTTCTCGCCAAAATTGGCTCCTTCGCCCACTGTGGCTACTCTTCCGGCTTCAACATTGTCTTTGTCCCTTGTTCTAGGTTTCCCTTTCTACTTCTTGGGTTGAGATATTCTCACTGGAGCCAAGGCACCATCGTCGCTGAGCGAAGATCCCTCTTCATTGGTTAGACATATTCTCATCGAAGCCAAGACAACATTGTCACTGAGCATCGATCCCTCTACAGTTTTTGATGGCCAAGAAAGTGTTTCTCTACACCTCCTCCGAACCAGGTTGTTGACATCTTCACAAAAAGTGTTTCTCGACCTCTCTTTGAATTTTTCAAATCTAAGTTTCACGTTCGTTCAAATCCGACGCTTAGCTTGCGAGGGAGTGTTAAGGATATTTAGTACTAAA